GCGCGCACTGCTAACAGGAATGGGTGATAGCCTCAGCCCAGCCCCTGAGAACCTCCGGGAAGAAAACATAATGCGTAACATGTCCAGATTTAAGATAAACCCAAATCCCAAACAATCACCAAACCCAGGTCATTCCACCCAGATGCATGACAAAAACCCCCAGTACCCCCAGGAGGTGGGACAGCTGACCCAGGACGGGGAGGAGCCACATGTATCTGGTGCCAAACCACCGAACCTCCGCTAAAGAAGGCGTACGATCCACCATTCGCCCCCCGCCTCTTGGCCCAATTGACATAGGAGCAACCCACCATCCCTATTCCGGGGTGAAATCGTAACTGCGGAGAGAAATCAACCTAAGGAACCTACCACCCTGACTCCCACCATTCAAGCCCTTTAAACCCTTGGCGCAGGCACGCCAAGCCTGACGGCGTCTGTAGCCGCCCATAACCGGAATGAATGCCGGTCGAGAGGTAAGCGTATCAAGCTTCTTGGTAAGTCGCTCCCCCACCACCCGATGGAAGTCTCATATAGACCGAAGGTTCTGCACAGAGAGCACCTATGTCCCCCATCCCGACAGACTGCCCGCATGAAACCGCGGGAGACGGGATGGGCCCCCCTGCCACCGGAGCCCTTGTGCTGGAACCGCACGAGTACCCCACTGACCGTGACTTTCTGTGAATTTCCAACCACTGCCTAGCCTCCGGCTGGGTGCCAGTGCGGAGGATGCTGTTCCCCCACTGACCCCCCCCCCCAAAAAAAGATGATAGCGTGCCGTGCTGAGGCACCGGGCGAGCCATAAAGGAAAAGCAGAGGCCTAAGTCCATCCGGTCTCAGGCCAAGAAGGGTCACACTCCAACCGTGGACGAAAGTGCAAGATGTACCTTCACCAACCCAGCTCACCCTAGGGACGACACGCGACAGAAAATGGAAGGAGGAGCCGGGGGCACCAGGTAAACAGAGCGACAGGGGGTGGAGGGGACAGGGGAGAGAGACCCAGGGGAGCCTGCCTCACTGGCCGAGGAGGCTCCCAGACCACCAGAGGTCCTCCCCTGGTCCTGAACAGCGGTACCGGAGTACCCCGCGCGGCCCCGCCAGACCTACTCGCAGTTGGGGGCCCTTGCCACAGCCCCGCCGTCCCGCCAGCCGTGGGCGGATTAAAACGGCCGCGTGTCTGGAGCCCCCAGACACACGGTCCTGGCGATGCCTCAGGCCTGGGCTCCCACACCTCAACCAGGGCCCGAGGAGGAGTGGCAGGGTACCCCCCTTTTATAGGAAGGGTACCCCCTAGCTGAACTAAAAGCAAAGATAACTTAGAGAATTTTTCAGTTTGGTTACGTTGGCTTTAAATTTTAAATTCACTTTGAATACAATACAATTCTCCTAGTGATCCTAGTTATAATGTCATAACACTCTCAAGGTCAAATGGTATGCCAAGATTAAAAGGTGCTGTTTCTATGTCTTCAAAAGCACCTGTAATACGTTGGACGTGGCAGGGTACCCCCACGCGGTCCTCTGGCCCTGAATGCCAGCCAGGCCGGCCCCCAGGAGCAGGGGCTACTGGGAAGGCCCCTGCAGGGACACAGGCCGCAGGGGGGGAACCCACGCCATCTACGCTGCAGCAGCTCTGAGAGAAGCTAGAAAGCCTCAACCTCCATCCCTCAAGATGGTAAATTCATCCTTATTCCAAAATATAAATATAGTAATAGACACACAAACTAGCACCATAAATCAAATTTCTTAGGGTAATTTACTAAAGTGAAAATGTTTGGAATTGAACCTTTATAAATACTTTATTTTGATAAAATTGACAATGCCTGTTGGTGTTTTAATATTAGGTGCCCTCCCCTCCAAAAAAACTCAACTTAATCCAGCACGGGCGACTTTCCTGACACTATCTTCTATATCCCATGCTGACGCCATCCCGGCACTTGCGCTGGCAATCGGAGCCAGCGACGGGAGGGAGAAGGGGGAGGAATATTTTAATTACACTTTTTTGTAAATAAGCCTATTCAATTAGCGGAGGGAGAACACACAGAAAGGGAGAGTAAAGCTGTCTTCCCCTTGCTGGGCCTCTGCCTGCAATGGGGAAGATTTTTTACATCTGATATGCACAGAATTGATATTATGCAGCCCAGAAAAAGTTCTGCCTAAGTCACGTATGCCTGGGGTGCTACAAGCCCTGGCACACAAAAAAAAAAGCAACTCTGCGTGTGCAGTGTTCCAAGTGGATTCACTGCACATTCGGATTCCTTTCACCACGACCACTTTAAATCATTGAAGTGTCCATGATGGTTAGAGTAACCCTTAAGTTAAAAATAGCTAAACTAAAAGCAAAGATAGAAAAAGGAAATGAGCACAGTTGTGGAGTGAGAAAGGTGTTCCCCAACACCCTAAGATCGAATAGTAAAATAAAGGTACTCGAGGACAACAAGTGCCACATACACACACCACTCCCTGTGTACAAATGGTACCAATAGAAAATGGCCAAAAGTAGGTAAGAATACTTATACATGTGCAGATATATGCAGATAATGTTCCATGTAATAGATTCCTAAAACAACACAAAAAAAACATTTATAGTATAGACTGTATTTACAAATAAATGAGTATAAGAGTAATGGATACACTCACGAATTCCAGAGCCGTGCCAGGATCTGTGTGTAATGTCCAAGGGTGCCTCAAAAGGCTATGTAGAGGATCTTGAATGATGTCCCCCAAGACTCAGGAAAAAGCAGCAATGATGATATTGAAAATAAACAAATTTATTACAATAAATGTTAAAAAAACAAATTGTGCAGGTCCCATATGGTGACACACAAGCTCACAGCTATGCAGACGCGTTTCAACTCAGTCCGAGTTTTCATCAGTGCATAAAAATCATCCAGCTGCTATTCCTTTTGAATTCGCTGCTTCTATGGCTGCCGGTCACGTGGGCGGAAGTTCGGCTGACCGGCGTCTGATGTCACTTCCGGTATTTTCTGCGCTAATTTCATCAGTTTAGTTTAATTCAGTTCATTTGCCCAATTGAAGCAGAAAGCTCCATATTGTAAATGGGCACCTATAATAACTCGTAACGTGCATAAAAATAGACAATTCATCATAATATAAAGTAACATCGCAATATGTGCATCTATAAAAAAGATAACAATAATCATATATATCTCTTCTCTGTGGATCCCTTACAAGGGAGAAATTATAAGAGACATGAGGAGTAATTATACATAATATCATAAAGATTTATATCACATATACAATATGTAGATACAGCCCATATAGATAGGACTGGTTGATCAGAGAGGGCAAAATACTAATATAAAAATATGAAAATATATAGAAAAATAAAATAAAATGTAATGAGCTGGTACTAAAAATGCATAGTATATGCATGTAAAAGGATACAAAAATTCCTATAAAAAAAACTATAAAAAATGAGCCAGCTCAAAATCTAAATTAAAACCATTGGGGGATAGAGTGTTAACTCAAATATCCACCTGCTTTCAAATTTGTAAAGTTCTTTAAAATTGTCCTCACCTCTCCAATCCTTTTTCTTTTAGGCAATGGCAATAAAACTAACATGGGAAGGGTCACTATTGTGGCATTGTGAAAAATGTGCAGAGACACTGTGTTTAGCATACCCCCTCTGTATATTGCCCAAGTGTTCCAATATGCCAGTTTTTAAGGTCCTTGTGGTTATTCACACATATTGTAATCCACAAGGGCACCAGATGAGGTATATCACATTGCTAGAATGGCATGCGAGGATAGAATTGATTTTATATTCCTTTTTTGATACATTAGAAATAAATTTAGTATGTGTATCTTTTTTACATTTTGTTCTTTTACAGGCTGTGCACATTTTACATGGAATATTTGGCCATTTTCTATTGGTACCATTTGTACACAGGGAGTGGTGTGTGTATGTGGCACTTGTTGTCCTCAAGTACCTTTAAAAGCAAAGAAAACTTAGAGAATTTTTCAGTTTGGTTGCGTTGGCTTTAAATTCACTTTGAATACAATACAATTCTCCTAGTGATCCTAGTTATAATGTCATAACACTCTCAAGGTCAAATGGTATGCTGAGATTAAAAGGTTCTGTTTCTATGTCTTCAAAAGCACCTGTAATACGTTTGCATATACAGATCGGGTTCTAGATAGTGTCCCAGTCGGGCTGTTATTTCCTAGTCTCCTACTATGCAGATCGATATTGGGAAGAGGAAGGCAAGCTGCTATAGTCTGAATACAACTATTTCTGTGCCTCCAAGGGCACCTATCCTGGATTGAAACCCCTTTGGGATGCTCTTGTAACTATTGTAACTGCCTACTATATCCCTGCTGCACAAATAGATCTTTGGTCGAATAAATGTATCAATACTTGGGATCCTGGTTGAATAAATAAGCTTTTCGCTCACACCAATGTGTAGTAAAAAATGAAAATTTACTTTATTTTTCAGATAAATTTTATTTTCCCTGTGAAATCAGCTTGGGTGGTATAATCCCCACCTAGGATATATGCAGTGGCGTACTAAGGGGGGGGCGGGGGGGGCGGTCCGCCCCGGGTGCCAGCCGGGTGGGGGGTGCCATGATCAGCCCCCCCCCCCATATGCTGCAGCCGCCCGAGCGCTCTGTATTGAGCCTCAGGCGGCTGCAGCATTGCCCGGGCGGTGCGTCCATGAGGGCGGACCGCACCGCCCGGGCGCAGCCTGAGGAGAGGCTGACAGGAGGGAGCTCCCACCTGTCAGCTCCCTCCCTGTAGCGTGGCCGAGCCCTGCATAGCCGGTGTTCTATCAGTTTGGTATACCCCGTCAGATTGCTATACCCCCGTCACTTCCGGGGAGGGGAATCAGCTGTCTCCTGTGCTGCACATGCGTGCTAGCACTCCTGCTACTCCTCCACAGCAAGGTCCTGGAAGGTAAGTAAAACTAGTTTTACACTTTCATTATAGTTAGTGCATTCACTAAGCTTAGGACATGGGACATTTAGGGTTAACGTTAGGGTTCAAATTAGGGTTAGGATTAGGGACTTGTTCCTATTTAGTGATATTTCACATTAGGGGAATATCACTAAATAGTGATTTCTCACACTTTATTTTAACCCTTACCCCAAGGGTTAGGGTAAGAATAGAGTGTGAGAGAGGTTAGAAGCACTTACCTAGCCCTAATTTGTACCCTCACTTAACCCTAAATGTCCCGTGTGCCTAAGCTT